AAGTTAATATATATATATGTTATGCTAGTTACATGAAAGGACATATCTGCCCTTGGTGTTTACATCATAACTGCTAACACATAACAAACAATATAAAACTGAAACTAGGAATAACAGAATAGCAAAATGATCACAGCTGTGACTAGATACATTCTACCCTACGGACAGAGTGGGACCACAGCTGTGGGGCCCACATCAATGTTCTCTACATTGGTATAACAAGGAATTTTACTCCACTCTATCTAATGAGTTATCTGACAAGTTCTTTAAGTCTTTACTAACGTTTGCATTTAGAGCCTCTTACCCAGTGTGATGGGTTATATTTATTTGATTTCCTTTTCGGATGCCAATCAATCCATTTGGGGTATATTAGACATATCTTTATGGTATATGGCAGCATTCTCCATTCTTCTGAAATATGAGATATCAAAATCCTGTCATAACTGATTTTCTCTCTAAGAAATTTTGGGCAAGTCATTACTTCTTTAGCCATATAGGCCTGGACTAGTTGGATTGTGGTCTGTGAAATAATCCCATTGCTGGGCAGTGGGCCTCTTTGTTGGCTTTGATGTTTGCCTTTTTGCTGGGGAGGTTCTAGCCCTTGATTGAAAAAAAAAAAAAAAAAATTGTACTTAAGTCTGAAAGTGTCAAGCTGTATGTTTCTTTGGTAAATCTGTTCAGTTTGTATGCTGCAACCATTGATGGTAAAATAATTTGGACCATGCCTGTTTGTTCTTTGTAGGTTGTAGATGTTGTTACCTGTTACTAGTTAATTTATATGCATGTGATACAAATTAAACAACTCACCAGGATAGTGGGGCCTCTTTGGTGGCTTTGATCTTCATTTTTCTTGTAAGGTGCTAGCTCTTGATTACCATCTTAGGAATTACTTCCAAATACCTGTGCCTAGAGGTGTCAATTTGCATGTTGCTATAATTCATGTTAATATGATCTTGATCATACCTATTTGCTCTTGGTGGGTTGTATTTGTCATTTGCGTGTTAAGTTAATTGTGGAGTAAGTACTTTTAAAAGGTAGTTATCTACTATTTCCAGATTGAGTCACTGACTTCCCTTTTGGTAATTTTCGTATTGGTGCTGGTGTCTTAGGTTTTCCAAGGTTAAAGGGAACTTGGTCACTAGTGAAGGGCGTCATGGTCATTGCAGAAATCAAAATCAAATGAAGTATGCATTTTCTGCCCATAAATTTCTATTTTTTTCTTCTGTATTTGTACCAATAGCATCAATTTTTAGCCTTAAAGGGCTATAAAAGAGATTAGGAAAGGTGGGTGGAAAAAAAACTGCTCAGGAAAAAAAAGTGGTGTTTGGATTGCAGAGATCAAGTAGGGGATAGATATCTAGAACAAGATAGTCATTGGCTCATCTTTAATTTTCATGTTTTCTTTTTCTTTCCTCCTTTAGGGAGAATTTTCTTTTTTTTTTTTTGGATGTTTTTGAGAGTACCTAAAAAATGGGGAAATGCATAATCAACAAACCAGTAGAGCCCCGGAAATGGCCGGCAGACAGAATTGTAATTTACTTACCATTACATAAATTTGTGTAGCATTAGTGTGATATGATCATTGAGTTCTTTCAACTTTCCTCTAATCATTGCAATGTGACAATGAAGTTTCTACATTCAAATTCATTTGGGTTTTCTCTGTGCCTTGCATATAAAGGTGGATTAGGACTACTAATCCATCCAAAAGTCACAGTGGACAGTCAAGGTTTAAAGTATCAACATGCAAGATACCAAAAAATTGTGTATTTTGTGTTTGGAATGGTCGATTTTCTTTTTTTATTTTTTTACAATTTGATATTTCATCACCATTATCATCATGCCTCGTCCAACTATTTTGGGTTGGCTAGATGAACCCTGTTTCACCAATCTGTTCTATTTAAAGCCATGTCCACTGTTAAATTATTAGTGCCTAATTCATTTCTTACTACTACTATTCATATCCTTTTTGGTCTACCCCTAGCTCTCCTAGTCTCTTCAAGTTGTAACAAATCACTTCTTCTAACTGGAGTTTTCGGTGGTCTTTTATGCATGTGACCAAATCGTCCTAGTCTACTCTCTCATTTGTCATATATTAGGGCTATTCCTAGGTTCCTTTGGATGACTTCTTTTGACTTCATTCATAATCCCATCCTTTCTAGTTTTTCCACTCGCCCATTTAACTTGCTACTCACTTTGATATTTACATGAGTTTGTTAAGATGAATGTTAAGCATTAATATTCCCTAACTCTTGGTATTTTGAGTCTCGGTGACCTTGGACACCAATATGATACACGTGATACAGCGTGATATGAATCAATACTTTAAACCTTGTGGATAGCCAGTTTGAACTCAGGATTTTTCAGCAAAAATAACTTAATGTCAGTCAATGAGGGGCCTACCTCAGAAAGCCAAAAGCTGTGCATTTCACCCCTCTCCCAAAAGAGCACTTGGTGCATGTTTGCAAGGTGGGCTCCACACGAAAAGCTCAGAAGCTATATTTGGTGAAAAACTGGAAAGCCTAAATATATTTTTGTTGAGATAACACAAACCAGTATTCTGGTGAATCTAGTTTCAGTAGCTTCTTGCCTTCTTCAAAGTGGCTCAGTGAATGAAGTTCAATCAAAACCGAAGCCCTTCCAAATGGGCTCTCAGTTAGAAGATGGTAGATCAACACTCTGGTTTTTCTTTTACTTTTCCATCTATACAGTCGCAGCACAATAAGGTCTGGTTGGGTCCATAATTATTAGAGTTAATTATATATAGTTATATACCCTGTTTTAGGAAACTACTTGTGTCTACCCTGAACTTTCAAAACCTACCCTAAGGGAAGAGCCAAGTGTTGCTGGCCTTTGCTCTCAACTCTATTGATCATGGGTGTCTCTTACTTGGCTGCTAACCAAAATTAAATGGACTTCCAACAATCATCTTTGTTTAAGCAAGGCGTCCATTACTGTTATGGAAATACAACTGAGAAGAAGAAAAAGTTGTTTTGAAAATTTAATGAACAGTTAAGGACATTTTTGTCTTTTACAATTTATCTGTTAGACTTATCATTTGAAAGGTCAATAAGGTATATATATATATATATATATATATATATATAAGTAGGTTTAAGTAGTTTCTTAAATATACAGGGTATATATACGTAATTACAAATACATATATGGTATAGTATATGTATGATTTGGGAAGAGCTCATTACATTTTCTTTTGCAATGGGGCACGGGAAATATGGTTTGGGTCATGGCTTTACATCCGTACGGAGAACTCTCCTTGGAAGTCAATTGTGGATTGGTTACTTAGATTGGTGGCTTGATGAAGTTCAAATGATTATTCCTCTCCATCCATTCAAATATGGGGCAATTATTTTGTAAACAAATATGGAGAATTCATAAGATACAAATATTTGGAAATAAAGAGTTCCGCCATCTAGAGTGCCGAGTGCTTCCCAACCCATGCTTATGAGTTTGGATTTCCTCACAGAATGGTCCTCACCAAGTTTTCAAATTTCGATATGATACGCCTGATATGGGTGTACTGTATCGTATTTTTGAATGCCTGATATGAAATATAGTGGAAAATCAGTGGTATTGTCTTTTTTTCCACCATATTGGATCTGTATTGGACCATATCGGGTTGTATCGAGGGTGTATTGGTATATTATGCATATCGATAGTATATTCGATCGAAACACAACAAAAAAGATGCAGATAAAAAATGAAAAAAAAAAACATAAAAGGGGAAATAAGCCTTCTTTTCACCCCCAAATGACTTTAAAACTCCAAACCACATTTATAGGGTGCTAGATATGTAAAAGAAAAAAAAGGCAAAAAAACAAGTGAATCATCAATGCTTTTGAAGTTTTTTCAAGTTTTGAAAAATACTACAAAAAGTAAGTTTTTCCAATTTTACATAATATCTTGTGATGTTTTTTACTTGAATGCTTGGAAATGTTTAAATTTATGTTGATCTACAATTATTATATTCAAAATCACATTTTTGTGTTATGAATAGATTTATAGAAATTTTATGTAGATTTGGAAAAAATATAAAATAACAAAAAAAAATTGAAAATATTTTTTTTATCATACCTATAAAGACTTGGTATGTTTTAGATCCATGGATCATCTATAATATTCATATAGCAATTGAAATTTCTTCTTCATTTTTTATTTTTGATTTTTTATATTTTTAGAACTAAAAAATAAGTAATAGTTAATTATATTTTATGATCTAATCATAAGGATTAAATATATTATAGATCTATGGATGATCTATCATATCCATATCCATTGAGCAATTGAAATTTCTTCTTCAATAATTATTTTTTGAATATATTATACAATGTTTATTTATTTTTATTTTTTGTAATATTTAAAAATAAAAAAATAATTATTAATTATATTTTCACTTAGAAGTTGTGTCAATGCATGTCTTATGATTAGATAGGATAGTTGGGTTTTCCTATCCTTCAAAACTTAAGAATATCAGGCATTCCACCAAGAATGGGAATGGGATTCTGATTCCACCCAACCAAGCAGTTGGAATCATAATGGACCATACTGGTTTCAATTCCAGACCCCTATTCCCACAAACCAAATGAACCCTCAATTCCTAAAATGAAAATGCAATAAAGAATTCGATAAAAATATTTGGTAGGCCAAAAGATCAATTAAATTAGTCCATGCTAAGTGCTAACTAGATTGTTTTTCTTGTGCATAAAGAATTTCAAATTTGCAATGTGCATGTATTTGGATTTATGAGTCTATGGACATACAGTTTTTGGCTTTTTAAAGCTACGTTTAGGTTGTTGTGGTTTATTTGCATTTTGGAAGTTCATGTCTCTTCAAGCTTTCTGCCTATTGTCAAGAAAGTGCTTCTCATGGGGCCAAGAGATTTTAACTAGATGCTTGATACTAAAAAACTTTACAAGAAAAAAGAAACAAATAGAAAAAAATCAAACGAGGGAAGAATAAAAAGAGCAAAAACAAAATTTTACATGGATTAAAATTAACAGGATGACAAGATGAGTAAGTTCATTTAGTTCATGAACGAGATTCCACGATAGCCGCCCCATGGGGATAAAAATGACCCTCTATCCTTGATTCTCGAAGGAGATAGGTTCCCCATCAGGGATGTGAATCCCCAAAATTTTTAATAGTTTTTAAGAGAATAGATTTACTTAAAATAACAAAATTTTTAAATATGTTTTATATATAAAATAAATAATATATATATATATATATAATTAGGATCGGGGTGGGAGGAGGAATTCACTCCCCATCCTTGACCCCATCAGAGTTGGGGAAATTGGGTACTTGGCAGTAGACCTGGCAATTGGGTTGGGTGGGTCAGGTTCGGGTTGGGTCAAGGTATTTCGGGTCAGGTTGAATTTTGGGTTGAGTTGTCAAATGGTAGACCTTAACCCTATATGTTCGAGTTAGGGTTGACCCATGGCTCAATTCGGGTCGTCTAAAAAAATAATTGAAATTTAAAAAAATAAAGAAAATTTACATGAAAAATATCAAAATTAAAAGAATTAACCTTAAAATTCCAAATATAAAATAAAGAACTTGAACATTTAACAAATTAAAGAGTAAACAATAAAAAGTAAAGGCTAAATAGAAAAAAATTAAATAGTGGAAACTTCTAACAATGCATAAATAATCCTAATTAGACTTGACAATCGGGTCAGCGGTTTGACCCATGACCCAACCCAACCCAGTTTTTTTGGGTCGGGTTGGGTCGTTCATTTTCACATTTGGGTAGCTAAATATGAGACCCTAACCCTGTTTTTTGAGTTGGGTTGGGTCGATTTCGTGGGTTGGGTCAACTTTTTGCTAGGTCTATTTGGCAGGGATAGAGAAAATTGTCATCCCTACTTAAAGCCATGGATACTTCCTTTTTTATTAATTAAAGATAAATTACTAGGAGGGTTAATAACGTTTAAATCCAGAGACCTCTTAAATCTTTGTATTTAGTGTTTTGATGACCTTGAAAAATGATATATATTATTGTGTACAATATTTTGATACTTTGAACTATGGTTTTACTATCAATTTGGACATCACACTTTTTGCAAAGAATTAGAAAGCAATGACTAATAAGGATTTCTTTCTTTTTCAATTTATTAGTAAAGCCCCACTAGGGTATATAAGCTGCACAATCAAACAAAGTAAAATCATATTAAAAATATTAAAAATGTTACATGTTTTACTTACTTTTCAGTTATTCACGTTTTAAAAAGTGTGCATACAAATCACATTCAAGACTTAAACAACTACAAAAATGTCACTTGTGAATTGTGATGTTTCATTTTAACACGGGTTCACTTTGTTGTTGTTTTGATGGCAATTGAGCTATCCATAGTAAAGGCAAGATTCTATTCCAAGTATCAATTGCAACTATTCAAGGATTGTGCCCGTTTGGTAGAGCTTTCATAGGGATATAGGGATAGCAATTTTTCTTATTTCTCCAATGGGGATGATTTTCCCCTCGCGGGAATAGGGATAGAGAAATTTTCATCCCCATGGGATCCCTACTAATATATATGTATGCATATGTTATATATGTAT